CTAAGTTCAAGCTTGATCGAGCTAGACTAAACTTCGTTAATAGCTTAAAGGTCGAATATACTCGGTTTGAGCTTAAGCAGAGGAGCTCGAGCGAGCTCAGTTTGTTGACACTTGACAGCCCTAACGGCAGGCGCGACACGCGGCATGGTCGGATGGAGGAATTACTGCACGTGCAACAGATGGTCAGTTGGTCACCACCGAACCGAGGCAGAGGCAGGGCATGCGGCGAGACCAACTTTAATTTGCTACGAGTAGACAGCACGTACAACACATGGCGGCATGATGGTGCCGTGAGCCCGTGACTAGACACTTGTACATCCATCGTCTGTGCCCCTTTTGTTTATCGCCGGGGCTAATCTTTGCACATCACTTTGCATACATGCGTTTCTCCGGCCGTTCCGGATAGAGAAGTTAAGAAAACGCCATGGCTCTGGTGCGGTATCATAGTCAGAAAAGTTCAGGATGTAGCATACTCCTATATGATAATAGTTCAGTTTTTTGTTGCTTCCCACAAATTAATAATAATTTGGACCGAGAAGAGTCTTCACATATACTGCTCCACTACTCTATAAGCAGGTACAGTCATTTCCCTATTATGCATTTATACTATTTCAAAAATTAGAAACCGATATGCTCATATATATGCATCCTGTTTATTAATAGGACATAGAACTGTCTCCTGGCTATTATAATTGATACTGACTGAAAAAATACATATACCAATTGGAGCGAGACCTTTACTCTAGCTCCTCTAGCATACTTTTCATTATGCCTCCTGAGCATGAAGAAAGGGCAAAAGAACCAATGGAATGTAGACACAAATGGTTCACAGTTGTGCTAATTATCTATACTACACTACTTTTCCACTTGGAATTGGTTACTCCATAAAATCAAACTGTGTGTGAAACAATACTCTGCACCAACGGTGACCTTTTTCAGAGAAAAGAAACAAGAAATATGCCGATTAATTGACAGTACTCCTGTGAACTGTGAAGTGTTAAGTGCCGCCCATAATTCGTGTCGTCAGCAATGGCCCCCACAAGCCTCATTTCTCCTCACTTTTGGGTGTGTTACAGCGACACATCATAATACAAAATGCAACCACTTGCCCGCCAAAGTACATGGGATCTCTCTCTTTGTGAGCAGCTAATGGGGAATCTGCATCCATTTCTTAACTGAATTTTATATCTATCGGCTAGATTGCTAATGTTCTCTTTCAGACTCCAGGTACAATCAATATATTTTAATCAGAAGACGGTCTGATGTGAAAAATATATACTAGTAATCAATTGCTGTAACTTGTAAGATTACCAGGGAGTCGCCGTCCACCAAACTGCAAACCAAAGCAACCGTGATTACATGTAAATATACAATAGCATGAGTACAACAAAAACCATAACATGATGTAGGAGTACTAGTTAGTAGATTAATTGGTGCAGATTTATCGAATTGCGGCTGTCGTGTTACTGCCGCAACAAGTGCATGTAGTAGTACAGTACCCCTCCGTTCCAAAATGAGTGCAGTTCTACACTTGTGTTTATGTTCAACGTTTAACCGTTCGTTTTATTTGAAAAACTTTTATGATTAGTATTTTTATTGTTATTAGATGATAAAACATGAATTGTACGTTATGTGTCTAATTCTTTTTATTTTTTCATAAACTTTTTAAATAAGACGGACGGTAAAACGTTAGACACGGATATCCACGGCTAGATGAATTTTCTATACTTACGTGCTTTTAATACTCTCTCTGAGAAGCAATGGATAGATGTAGAAGAGGTGATTAAAGGTGGTGTTTGGGAAGGAGGGAGTAAACTTTAGTCTCTCTCACAAAAGTACAAGTCCTTTCCATAGTGACTAAAATTTTTGTGAGATAGGCTAAAGTGTTTAGGGTGTGTTTGGTTCACGGTCAAGGTTGGATGGGATACAGCGGTCTATATTTTGTTGGATATGGCGATCCAGTTTTTTGTTTGGTAGAATGAATATGGCGATCCAGTTTTTTGTTTGGTAGAATGAATATGGCGATCCAGTTTTTTGTTTGGTTGTAGGGATGAAGGTGGATTTGGTGATCCAATTTTTTGTTTGGTTGGAGGGAGTAGGTTGGATTTGTAGGTGTGGTCACCTCTCACTTGAGATGGTGAATATACCTCCATCAAGTTAATGCATAATGCATTTTATAAATTCTGTAGCAATTTTACACCACTACCTCTCCATATTATAAATACACATATAAAAAAGAAAAAAAAGAAAAAAAAAGCAATAGATCTAGAGCTCACCGCCACTCCTCCCGCCGGCGGCCGCCTACTCCCGCCAGCCGCCGCCTTCCGCCTCCTCCCGCCGGCTGTAGGCGCCGCCGCCTCCTCCCGCCGACGCCGCGCTCACCGTCGTCGTCGTCGGGTCCGCATTGTCGTTGTCACCGGCAGGCGTCGCCGGCGACCGCCTCCTCCCGCCGGCCGTAGGCGCTGCCACCTCCTCCCGCCGAAGCCACCCGCACCGTCGTCGTCGTCGTCGGGCCCGGGCGACCGCCTCCCTCGCTCGCTCGCCTGGGGTGACACGACTCGCTCGCCTAGCTCACCCGGGCGCTCGGGCGGCCGGATCCCCCCATCCAGCATCTGGGAGGAATATTCCTCCCTGGGCTGCCCCATCCCACCCCTGCCGAGCAACCAAACACCCACAGAAAATGGGCCGCCATATCCTATCCACCCATATCCCTCCATCCAAACACACCCTTAGTCCCTCTTTTCCAAACACCACCTAAAGAATGTGATGTTTCCTCGTCCACCGCAGGAGATGGTGAAGTAGGCAGCGCGGCATGTGACTGTGGGGAGACAGGCGGCTTGCGCAGGAGGCCAGCTGTCACGAAAGCCATGGAGTACCAAACTGTACGCTCCAATGCCATAACACAAAGCGATGTACTTTCTGCATACTTCTGATTTGACACAGACAATTCGTCCCGTAACCGAGAAGATCGAACATCATACTCCTCGTAGTACCTCCTGGTAGTACCCTGTTTCATAAGCCATTTTTTTTACTCCATTTTGTGAAGATTTATAGGTCGTGTTATAGTTTCTTTCAAACTTCTAAAATTCTATCGCATTAATATTTGGACATATGTATGAAGCATTAAATATGGACGAAAAAAACCAATTGCGCATTTTGCATGTAAATTGGGAGACGAATCTTTTGAACCTAATTACGCCATAATTTGACAATATGATGCTACAGTAAACATTTACTAATGATGGATTAATTAGGCTTAATAAATTCGTTTCGCAGTTTACAGGCAAAATCTGTAATTTGTTTTGTTATCAGTTTATATTTATTACTTCAAATGTGTGTCCGTATACTTAAAAAAAATTGGCACAAGAACTAAACACGGTCATAGGGATAAGTCCCATTTTGTTTTGTTTTGTAGGGATATGGTGTGTGTAGGGATATGGTGTGCTTGTATTCATAGGGATAAGTATGCTCGCGTTGTGGGTGTGTGTGTTTATATTGTGTTTTTAGAAAAGTAGCATAAAAGATGATAGTAGACATTAAATAAACTAGTATAAATTGGTGATATGTGAGGAATAAAATAGCACATAAGTGGATAGGTAAAAAATAAAATACTATCACGGGATAAATTTGAAGAATAAATTCCTTATATTATAAAACAGAGAGAGTAGAATAATAGGGATCCACTGCGTACCATTCGGAGGACGCGCCACTCAACGTATACAACAAGGAGCTGTAAAGCGTCAGAATGTCAGGCGGAAGAAGCTGTGAACCGTGTGCTTTGTCAGGCAGAAGAAGCTGCAAGTGTATACTACTCCATTGATGTGAATGAGCCTTTTTATAGGCCTGCTTCGCGTCGCAATAAACTGCTACTCCTGCTCGTTCGTCGGATTCCCAAGACATGGTGTCGCGCCCATCTTCGTCTGCTGCTGCTGATGGATGGATAGGGATATGGATATACTGTATCGAGCGGTGTCACGCCATGCCATGTCAACCGGTCAGCAGTATAGCTTTAGGCTAGCGTTGGTGTTGTCATGGCGCACGTATGTAGGTGTACGTGGCCGCCGAATCGCGCTTGGAAAACGATGCCCGCGCGGCGCGGCGTACGTGACGACGGCCGCTGCAGCCACCACCAGCGAAGCGCCGCCCATCCAGCGGCGCGGCACGTCGCGGCGTGCGGCATCGGTGTACGTTCGTTTCGTCGTCGGTTACGGTGCCACGGCCTTGACGGCGAGATCAAAATCGGTGGCGCCGCCGTACCGACCAACCTCCTCTCCCCTCTTCGATCTTCTCTTCTTCCACGGAAAAAAAAACAGCGCAGAGTACCGTACAGTTCTCGTTTGCAGACGAACAGTGTTTCGGTTGGACTCTTTCAATCTCCTCTACTATAACACTTGGACTCCAATTTCGGGCTCTAGTACACACAGGTGTCAAAACTGTACGCATCGAATGATGCACATTTTGCCCGGCGAAAATGCTCGGTCGCCGGACGGTCAAAGCGAGCGAGCGCTGCCGCTGCCTGCACGCATATGGAGTGTGCAGCCGTGCAGCGGTGGCGCTGTCTATGTAGTTGTAGGTAGGCCGGGCTGCCGATTGATTGCATCAATGCCGATCGGATCACGGGTGTCTCACCTGGATCTGGACCACACCGTCTAGAATTTGCAGGATAACAACATGCACTTGTCTTGTTTGCTCCAGCACTAGCTAGACCACTTCTCTGTCTTTCTTTTCTCCCAGCCTGAGGCAACAGTAGCTAGTACACACACTATATACTACGCTTAATTCGCTTGAGGGCGAGACTTGTTCTCCTACTCCTACCCAGTAGCTTTGTCAAATTCCGCAGCTGAAACTGGCAGGCAGCCGCCTCGGCACTCACAATCTAGATATAGCTACTGCATGATCCATAACTTGCCCTACCTGCTGCTTGTATATCTTATCACCGGAGCGAGAGGCGCCTAGGACGACTTATCATCATCATCTTGGCAAGAACCCAGTGTGCAAAATTAAGAGCAGAAAGGGTGATCACCACAAAAGAGAGAGAAGATTTGTGCAATCTGCTGTTGCAATCACCCCAAGTTCAGGTGATGGTGTTCTCCTTTACACATGAAAGGAAACCATGATTCATCATCATCATCAGTTACGACCGCCCGGCACATTCATCTGAGCGAGCTAATAGCTAAGCTGTATTTACAAAAGCCTGTAACATGACATGTACCACATGGCACACGCCCTGCACAGTCTAAGCTAGGCTGAAGCGAATGGATTTGATGGTGTTTGTTGTTCCTATCTGCAGGGACGAGCCAAGACCTCCGGAGACACTCCCTCGCCCCCCTCCTCCTGCAGCCGGCGGCCGGCTAAGCGGCGGCGACGGTCTCACTGCCGCTGGCGCCGGACTGGTCGGAGCCGCTGGCGCCGGAGACAGCCGGGGTGTCCTTGATGGAAGTGAGGGAGCAATTGCGCTCCTTGCGCTCGTAGTACTCGATCACACACTCCCTGCACTCCTTGCTGCAGAATGCCACCTCCCCTCTGCAAGAGAAACGGAATCAAATTAGCATCATGTGTCACAACCATTGCTAACCATGAAAAAAATAAAGAAAAAAAATGGATGTCGTTCTTCTTCTATTCCACTCTCAAGGAGCTTTCTTTTCTTTAATCTTCAGTTGATGGAGAAGACTGACAACTGACAACTAAAGAAATGCAAGCTGATGATACCAAGTGGTACCAAGTGACCAGGATTATATGATAATCAACGAACAGGTCATTTGATTGGTCACTTATCTTTGTTTAATACGTTGCATAGGTGACTACAGTATTGTAGGCTTGCCTCATAATCTAAAATGCATCCAAGTATTCGCAACAACTAACAAGTACCCGTAGTAGTAAACCAAACAGATATAATATAGACGTACAGTAAATCATACGCCGAAAGAAGAGATTCGCATCAAATATTCCCCTAAACTATGGGAGAGAATTAGATCCATACTATGAACTCGGACCGTATTGAGTGCTTATAATTGCACCAGATCAGCATTACTTCTCTAATAAATGAAAGATTACATAATAGTTACTGCAAATCAACACACGAGGTAACATGACATATATACCACCAAAATCAATGGAAGACGACAGATCGAAAATACTTCCCTTCACAAACCAGGAGAACCCAAGACATGATAAAAAGATTCGATCTAGGTGCAACCTTGACGTGGAAAACGAACTAGCGGAGCAAAATTCACTTCGCAAAAGCGGAACTGGAGATCGCTTGGATTTCAATCAAGAAAAACACTCGGTAGAAGATAGACTAAAAGAGAGTCGATCCATGGAACGAACGAGAGTTTTACCGGGCAACCCAACGCTAAAACGAATAAAACAAACAAAAAAAAACAACAAAAAAAGCGATGATCCGCGTACCTGTAGATGTAGGTGTCCTTGCCAGGGCCGAGGTCGCGGCCGCACAGGGCGCAGTTCTTCAAGAACGCCGCCGTCTCGACTCCGCCGTGGTCGGCGGCGGCGGCGGTGGCGGGGCCTCCTCCAGCGAGCAGGGAGGCGGGCGGCGCCCGTGGTGGCCCTTCCACCACATGGCGCCGCCCCTGCTTCGCCGCCGCCGGCACCGACGCCATGCTGGTCGTCCGGTGCATGGTCCCCTGGCTCCTCTGCCGCTTCCCCAGCATCTTCCCAGACATGGGCTCCCGCTTACCTCACTCCCCGCCCGGCGATCTCGGATTCGATGGCTTTCTTGTCCCGAGATGTGGAGAGAGAGAAGGAGACTGGATGGTGGGGAGGGGGGGTTTTGGGGGAGGACGGGAGGAGCGGAGGGGGGGAGGGGCATAAAAAGAGGCCGAGGGGAATGTGGCTGCGCGATCTGGGCCGTCCGCTCCCCTCTTCTGGAATCTCTTCGACGGCTCAGATGTGATGCGGCCGAGGCTGCAGCTGATGACTTGCAACGGACGGACGATTAAAAAGGCGCTTTTGCTAGGCTTACCCGGCCCCTCTTGCGCCCGCCCTTAAACAAGACAAAAAAACGCTTACGCGATTTCTGTGTGTCCGTTTTGAGCTACGTGTATGGTGAAATAGAAGACATGGAGAATTCGGCTGGAATTCCGCGGGTCTATTTTTTGATACATGTATGCCGAAAGAGAATACACGAAAAATTCAACCGGACGACAGTATTAGAGGTACCAAAAGATGGCGCCATCGCCATTCGTGTGACTACTTTTAATCTCATCAATGTATTTCGCGAACACGCAAGAGAATTACACGTAACTATCTTAGTTAATCTTATCAATGTACTATGTGTATTTAAAGTTACATAATTCATTACAACGATTTGTGGCATGCGAGCATGCAGCTGTATAAATACTTCCTCCATTTCATATTATAAGAATTTCTAACATTGTCCATAAATATTTCCTCCGTTTTATATTATAAGACTTTCTAACATTGTCCACATTCATATAGATATTAATAAATCTAGATATATATGTGTATAAATTCATTAACACCTATATGAACGTGAGCAATGCCAGAAAGTTTTATAATATAAAACGAATGGAGTAGTTAATATATGTGTGCCTTTCTAGCCGAATAAACTCACGACACGAGTTTATCTATGTTGATCCGGGAATAAGAGTATTTTAGCTAATATTGTTTGGATTCGCATTACATGTTTTTAATTTGTGTTCTAAATAAAAACCATTTAGATTCGTAATATTAGAATATGCCTAATCCCTATCTAGATTTATAAGACTATGATATGTCTAATCCTATAATAAACTACTATAACCTCTCATAATATAAAAAAATATACCATTTTTAGTAAAAATCAAGGAAGTAGTGAAAGAATATGTGATGGTGTGTACGAACGGTGATAGGTGAAAGAATAGAATAGTAGAAAAGTTAGTAGATAATGAAATAAACTAGTATAAAAGTAAATGGTGGGGGACTAAAGTAGTATAAATGTTGGTAGGTGGAGAATAAAATATTGTCTCGTAATTCTAAAATATTTTATATTTTAGAACAAATTTAAAAGACGAAATACCTTATATTATGAGATGAAGGGGAGTATAATTTTAAGATGGAGGACTTCGAAGAAACTACTCCTATGTATTAAGGTTATCAACCTACCTTAGCTTGCAGCCCTGTAAAATAATCCGTGCATTTTGTTGTGCCAAGCACAACTATTTTTTTTTAAAAAAGAAGGCTGATAATGCATAAATTATCGGGAAATTACTCATCGAACACATTACACATGTAACGTAAGTAATGTGGAATGATTTTTTTTAAGGAAAATGTAATGAACTTGACCTTAATTATAAATCCCAAATACATGGAATCCCTTATAAGTTGAAACAACCTAGAAAAAGATAAGTCCAAACTTATTTCATGCGCTCTTGTTTGGAATCACTTCCATGATATGCTCTACCATTTACAACGAGACATACATATCCACATTTGCCTACGCGCTTGTATTCAATCATCTAGTAATTAAGATGCCACATTCATATCAGGTGTTGGTTGGAGACAGCACCAAAATATCACTCGCGTGTGACAAAATATGTGACTGCAACAGAAGCTCCCCTCATCACATGCATGCGTGCACTTTTGTGGGTTTCTGTTCGAGCTCGACAAATTAAACCCCCGCCTCGGACGACAGCCACCACCATATCCTCAGAAAAAAAAAAAAAACCGGCCCGTCCGACGTACTCCCCCGCCGCGGGGCCACGGGTCACCAGCAACGCGAGGCAGATCACGAGGAAGCACACGTATAGGTGAGTAAGTACAGTGTATCAGCGCGCCCACCAACCTTGGCAGTACTGTGGCACGGCGAATCTCCGAAACTAACGAGACGGCCGCGCGCGCGGTTGGGGAGGGGAGGGAAAAAAACCCTCGTGGGCCTCGACCGCGATCGATGGCGCATTGGCGCCAGTATCTATCGCGCGTTTCGCGATCGATCGAGCGCAACCGCGCAACCGGTGGGATGGGAGACAGATCGCGTCGTCGCGAGGAGTCGTCGTTGGCATATGCGACCGAGCTGATCGGACGAGGTGGTGGCCGCGGGCAGCGGCAGGAAACATGCCAAACCCGTACGTCGCGCTCACCGTCGCTCTCGCGGCCCGCGCGCGCAGGCAGGCAGGCACACACACCTCGTATTATGGCGGCAGCCAGCGCGTACGTGGCTCGCGTGCGGGGGCAGCGGCAATGCGGCCACTGATCACGACCGCGCACCGTGACGTACGTACGTCTCGCTCGCTCGGTGGCGCGTCGCGCGCGATGCGCTGCACCTGCACGCTGACTGACACATGGGTTGGGTGTGGGGGATTGGGGACCTTGGGTGCTAGCGTGCATGAAAGACGTTACTTCCGCGTTGGTGTCCCGGACGGACCTGTATACATGACTAAGCAGCCATACACACGCAGTAGCTACATAAATTGGTCTTTGCTGCCCGGTTCTGTTCCACTTTTTGGTTCATCTAACGCAGAAACAGACAAACAGTAGTAATGCTGTGTGAATTTAAAGTGGGTGATGTCTTAGTTTCCACTATCAACAAGTACTCCTACACTTTTTTACCGGGGAAGAAAAAGAACACAGGACGATCCATCGCGCCCAGCTCGGTGCCGTCTAAACTGTACCAACAGGCTTCGGACTGTTCTTTCTTTTTTTAGATAATGAAAATATATTACATCTACGGCCTTTGTCCATGGGCACATAACCAACAAATCTCACAAGTAAAAATGAAAGGAGTTAAAAAAACGTGATAAGACAAACCCCCACTTCCGCTAATAAAAAGATCATCTGAAATAATGTTTTCAAAAATCACATAGATTATTCTTGATATTATGGACTCGCATACTCTAGTTATGGTAGCCAACATGTTAGTACTAGCATTTAGTTTCGCAATTGAACTTCTGAAGCGAAGCGGCTACAAGCATGAGCAATTGAGCATCCCATCGGGCAAGTTCAGAAAACGAGACCGCACGAATAGCAGTGGTCCGGCGAGAGTTCAGCTGTTGCCAACCCACCTCGCCCAAAAGCCATTGCTACGAACGACCTTGCAAGACCGCAAAAAGATGCAGACGTCTGCACGCACCAGGAACACAGCAATCTAGAAGAACAGATATGAGCTCAAAAAAGGAGGGGCTTTGCACTGGTGCAAAAGCCGGTTTCACCTCAGCATCTGCGACCCCCTTTTTTTTAGTTTCTCCCCGTGTATCTGATGGTGTCATCGTGCACTCAACTCCATTACTCTTGGACTGCTTTGCCTGAGAACATAATAATAATTTGGCAGAGTAGAGAGAGGAAAGTTGAACTGCATGACGTACTAAAGTTTTCAGATATCTTAATGATCATCGATCGACCTGCTTTTGGAGGCAGTTTTGAACGAAAAGTGAGGGCGAGAGATGCTGACCTCTCCTACCTTTTCTAAGCTCTCAATTTCTCATGTCCCATTACATTGTAATATCAGATAAAACTTCAAAAGATTTACCAGTGAGCGATGCAAAGAACAAAATATCGTTGGCTCGATGTCAACCAGCTTGGTAGATACTGCTTAAATATCCGGCCAAGCTTTCTAACCTGAATGACGCTCTAGATTTTCTGAAATCCCCACTGTGATGTGTCACACAATGTTTCAAGCTATGTCTCAGGCTGAGATTAAAATTCAGAGGAAGTTTTCATCTAAACTTTGGCCCATTCTGTAGCACCATACAAGTAGTAATTAAAACCTCTTAAAGTTTGGCCCATATCGCTAGCTTACTGCCGCACACACTACTGGAAGCTAATCTAGACCTCAAATAAGCACAGCCTGGTGATCTCCTACTACTATCTAATAAAGAGTAGTAACAAACTAGAGTGAAGTGAACCCAACTGTATGATGGAGCACAATGCTGACGGACAGTAGGTGGTGTAGGCGTCACATGAGCGAGCAGGCGTTGGGGTTGTCATCGCTGAACAAGTTGGCGATGTGCTCGGCGCCCATGGCGGCGTCCATGTTCCTCGGGTGGCAAGCGGGTGCCCACCTGTCGTGCGGTGGTCCGAGGCCGCAGTGGACCACGGCGGCGGCGGCGGCGGCGGCGCTGCCGTAGGTAGGGTACTGGGGCCATAGTTCGGCCTTCTTCCCCGTGGACTGGACCCTGCGCAGGACCTCGTGTGGGTCCACGCTGCCAGTGACGGTCACCTTCTGCTGCCTCCTGCTCACCTCCACATGCTGCACCCCTGCAGCTTCACAAATGACCTTGTAAATGCAATGCCCTCTCCATAATCAAGAACTAGGATTGTTGTGTTATTATGCATTTGCAACGGATTCGTGTTTGGGGGCCAAGAATTGCTGAAAAGAAAGGTGCAACGCAACCTGCTCGTCTGACAGTATTGATGATGCATTTGTTCGCAGAAAGTGTGCTGGGAAAAGCTTAAGCAGACATGACAACGATGGTCATTACGCAGGAGGAGCCGAGGGACATGGAAAAGCAAGGCCCTGGGCACAATGCTAGCGAGCAGAGAAAACAATGGGGGGCATAGTATGCGTAGGGCCAGCAGGTAGACGACCAACCGGACGGACGGATGGACGGAGGACTAACCTCTCATGCCGGCGAGGGCTCTCCTGACCTGACGCTCGCAGCGCTCGCAGTCCATCCTGACCCTGAGCTCCACTGTGATCTGTAGCTGCTGCTGCTGCTGCCGCCGCCGCTGCATCCTCTTCCCCTTGTCCCTCTGCCCACCACTGACCGCGCTCAACAACATGCTAAGCAGCCGCTTTATGCTTCCCCCCATGGAGAGAGCAGAGAGCTAATAACACACCAAATCAAAGAGACCGATGAGGGGCTCGATGGTGAAGGAGGCAATGGCAATGGCAATGGCGAATGCGCGGTGCGAAGGGACAGGAGAGGGGTGTGGTGGTGTGGAGAGAGGCACGGAGAGGAAGGGGGAGGTGTGTACAGTGGATGTGGCACGGTGGTTCTGTGCCGGGGTGGTGTGTTGCAGTAGGCCAAAACCAGGGCCGCAAGAAACCGCCTGCTGCAAGGCTGCACGCTGCACTGCAGCTCTCGCAAAAGGGGATTCTTCGCCCATCAGCGTTATCACTACAGGGATACGCTCATTTTGTGTACAGTAGACGGAGACAAAGACGATCAGCTCATTTTGATCACCATGTATGTGCCATGGTGATCAGCTCATACGCATGCTCCAATGCACATGGATGCACGACACATATACTTACATACAGCTGCACGCAGTGCACGCAGGAAACGACTTATCGGCACGGCACCCAGAAGCATGCAGCTGCTGATTTACTGAGCTCTCTAAGCAACAAAAAGACACCATATAGGCATATACGAGGCACATACAATTTACAGAGCTACTATAAGTTAGATCATTGTCAGCGAGTTGTTCATGAGATGAAGAACACGGACATAGTCAGTAAGAGCAGCATGTTAGAGTTAGCAAGTAGGTTCTGCAGAGTCGTCGATCCGCCAGAGGACGGAGCCCTGCCTGCGACAGCCGGCGTGACAGCCGGAGAGGTCTGCTGCTCGTTTGACGGTAGGGGGTCCTCTGGACTGTTATGCTGTGATGGACCTAAGGACACCGTCGTGCTGTTGTCAAGATCATGGCCTGCAAATCACGATGATCAGCAACGTATTAACGTCGTAGTTAGAAGTTTTGTGGTATTTATTGTGGCATGGTTCTGGCTTACATTCAGAGCGGTACCAGCCCAGCTTCATATTTTCTCTGTCAAAAACTACGTGATAGCCAACCATGAAATTCTCTGCATTCGATAGTATTGTCTCGTAAGAGAACATAAAATACCAAAAACAATTGATTTTTCAATATAAATATAAGTACTCACGCCCAATAATCCCAACAGGTTCAGGTGATGGTAGTACTGCTAAGCAAAAGACAGCAAATTCTCCCTGTAAAAATAAATAAAACAAGACAACATCAACATCCAGCTAATAACCTACGGTTTTAATTTTGTATGAGTTGATGCACTAATCATCATACCTAAGGTGTCAGCTCCAAATGTAACATGGGTTTCTACTGGTAATTCTTACTAGAGTTTGGTTTTGTCAAACCCTTGGCGGTGGAATAACAAATCATGGGAGTTCAATATGTGTAGCATGCAGATGCAACAAGGACAAAATTACTAAGTTCAAAAAAATGAACCTAGGAAATCCTAAAATTTCAGTAGTAGTATTCTAGTAGAAATCATTAAGCGTCATATTCATACATGCCATTTTGCCCAAAAAAACTTTAAAAGGAATTTCGGCATTGATACCCTATTTAAACCTATTTATGAAATAACAGAGTGTAGTAACGATTAGCATTTTACTCCCAGCACAACAGTCAAAACCACTGAGCCATGTCTATAAGATTCATAATGCTATATCAAATGGGAACACGAGTATTTAACAACTGTGCGGGTGGACATATATGTTTAGAAGAAAAGAATGTACTTCCAGCTAGCTTGGATGGCCCTATATATATCTATTTTTGATTATGAAAGAAGCTAAATGAAGCCAGATATGAGTTCCAAGACTCAAGAGTCAAGAGCACGGACTTGAGAAATAAAGTGTAGCGGAAAAGAAGACACTTGGAATTTCTAAGCATAGATCACAATACACAACATGACTCAATATGACCCTTAACTGACTGTTTTTGGTGCTAGTGCCTGATATTTTTTTACAACTCAAGTACATACCTGTCTGTCATTAAATGGAAGTATAGGATTAACAGCCTGGAAACTCTTGTTCTCAGCAAAAGTCAGAGTTATAGTTGGAACATCAGGCATCTCAAGAGGACTGCAACAAACAACTCATAAAATCAGAAGTGGCAGAAACTAAGTGGTTGCACCATCTTAACTTGTTTGATTTTTTGTTTTTGGGCTAGGTTAGCTTGTCTGATATTACTCACAAAAATGGAACAGAAGCAATTATTTCAAAATAAAATTACCCGGTGCTGTAGCAATATTCGAAAGAATAATCATCAGAAGATGCTCTTGATGCATTGATTTGTTTGTCGAACTGCAGAATCATGAATTCATGATAAATAAGCACAGGCGATATCCACCAAAAGAATTCCTCCGAAGGAGTAGATATTTACCTCCATAGTGATACTCTTGTAGGCATCGAGGGGAAGACTGGTGAAGGATGTTCCAGTGTCTACTAATGCCTGGAAGCCAGCTCCCTCCGTACACTTATGTCCAATACAATATTTGTCAACATTAACAGCATAAGTCTGACTGAAAAAAAAAGGAGAAAGCATGTGAGTGGAACTGTCAAGAAGTACATCCATTGCTTCCAATATAAAGTGGACATGGCTTGACCCCCCCAAAATGGATAACATAAAATAGAGAATAGAAACTAATGGTATTGCTACACATATCTATTCCTGTGGGGTACTCACAGCTTGCCATTCATCGGGACAAATGGTGTAGACTGTTGGGTAGGTACTCCTTGATCACCAAAGAAAATTCTCCCAGAATCATCTTTCTTGAAACACATTGAAAAGGAATTTCGTACTAATCCAGCTCTTGCAAGGAAACTAGGTACTGAGATATCTGCCATTCCAAGACCAAGAAGTCCATCTGGTGCAATACCTTCCAAATAGCTACCACTCTGCTTTTTACCACAGCTGTACACAGGGATACACACTATGTTAATGAAGTTGTAAATTTCATTAAGCAAACTAATCATTAAACTAGAGGTGTTTCATACTAGAGCACAACATCTAGTTTGTATCATTTTTGTTCTAGGAGTACATTCATGACTTGTTGTATCGATAATGCCACGAGATAATATTATAAAGGTAATTAACACTTCTAGTTTAAAGACGGAAAGGATAGGGCCTAACCGCCACCTATGTACACAAGGCCTAAGGCAAGCATGGTTCTTTTGGAAGGTGGATCAGTAGAGTTATTTTCCATGTTAACAGCAATGTCAAAAGCACCCACTGAGACCACCTTAGGGAGTAAGCTCACCTTGCTTTCTAACTTTAGGGTTAAATGATTTTATAGTTGAGTGTCAATTGAACATTCGGCAAAGTTTAGGGGTTTAAAAATGGAATTATTTCATTCTATATGCAGATGCATGCTGCTACCTGACATATCAGTAAATGTACAAGTAAACATGCGGCCATGCGCGCAGGTGATTGTATTGTTGTTCAATTAGAATGCCCTAGTAGGAAATAAGCAATCTGATAATTATTATTGCTCCAGCAATAGTTAATGTTAAAAAAAAGGGCAGAAGACAAAGAAGCATACCCTATAATGACAGAAGCATTCACAGGTGCATGGCCCTCCCTAGAATCCAAGTGTAACATATCCTCAATTAGCAAACCGGAGCTGGTTGTATTTTCTGAAAAGTAGTCAATATTGTATGGACAAGGCTGCTTCGGGTTTGTGCAACCTGAAGCCGGTGAGCAAAGCTCATGGCTACAGGGCAGATGCCGACTTGTAGTTGATTCAGATGGCTTGTAAATCCCAAGATCTCTATCCTGCATAATAGATGCTCCACATATGACGGAGCACCTGCCAATCAATTATTCCAAATAAGTGCTAAACCTGCTTTAAAATATAAAACAAATTCCTCTTGTTTGTGTGCTTCATATATACTACTTAGCATCATAAGAAATTTAGAATTAACAAACTAAGTAACCTCTAACAAACTGCCATTTGGGTTCCTAAACTTGAAGATCAACTTCGTAGACCTGCAATCCCGTAACTAAGTGTTACTCCCTCCATCCACAAAAGTTACACATATTACTTTTGTCATCAAGACCAAGGAGAAATTAAATCACCTTGCATGTTACAAAATCAAGGAGTGAATGCAAGCATGCAACCAATGAGTATTTAGATAACTCTTTGGGTTCTAATCAAACATTTAATTTATCTATTCATTTAAGTCTTGGATGCATAAAGACTACAAATAGGAACAACTTATTTGGAAAAGCTCAAATGTGAAATATGTCTAACTTTTGTGGATGGAGGGAGTATTCCCTAAACTTGCCTCTTAGCTAAAAATTGCAGTCTAAATTGTTTTTTATCATCTGAGTGGACAATATGGGGAAAATTAGTTTTACCTGACCTGAGAGTGCCAAAACAGCTACTGCATCTTGGTCTGAAACTTATTTGCATTGTATTTATTGCAGAGTTCACCAGGACGGCTGCCTAGGCTGCAACTAACGGCTAGTCGCCAGCAACATCCCCCAGTCTAGTCACCACTTAGACCCACCTAGTTGCCACCTAGTCTCTATTTAGTGGGTACCTAACCTACTAGACTGATCTATTGAAATGTTCAATAATTTATGATCAGCATTAGATTTGTACTTATATTTCCAACATCAGCAAATTTAGATAAATTAAGAGTGAAATTGAGCTAAGTAATATAATTTGCATGTTCACAGGTCTGGCAGAATAATTACAAGAATCAATAAAAGTAATAGCGAAACATATATGCTACTGAATTGCTTGTTCAAATTCATGTAATGATTGCATGTTTTACTTATTAAGACTTCATAGACCTGTGGTGTATATTCCAGGCATGTTCAGCTTGCTGCCAAAATAAACCATTCTAAAATTTGACAATACCAAAATTTTAGCAAGTTGACAACATTGCCAAGTTTTTTATATGGATTAAATGTGATATTGCCAAAATTCTCTAGATATTACCAATGTTTGGTAGAAAACTAAATGCAGACATATGATTGTTAATTTTACCGAATAATGGTATGGTTTAAAATGACACCAATCTAAACAGACCCTCCGCGAAGAAATAATTTCTTAGGAAACAAATTTGATAATCTGTTAACATTGCCACGAACATCCCCATATAGAGCATCGGTATATCCTTAACATGACGTTACTGATCACAAAGAGATGCATACCAAACTTCCATGGTAGCTGGACAATGGCGCACATTGGATACAATCACAAGGCACCCAAAACAAGTCACTTCCAGTATCCAATGCGACCAGGAAGGAAGTATTTGGCGTCCCAACGTCCACCCAAGTGTAGTATAACCTGCACATCCATCCAAAGACAGAAGAAACTCCACAACTCAGAGCGCAACCTAAGCACGACTGACTCTGCACAAGGCTGCTTGGCCCATCACAAATTCACAATGTAACCCATACTACACAACGAGAAATACTACAAAAGTTTGTGATAAAATAGTAGCGCATTGTTCTATATCGGCTGTCCTATAGCACTACTGAAGTAACTGAACTACTACAGCATGTGAACTTGCGAAGAGATGCTACTGCATCTACAGTACAACAGAAGATTAAAAATGCTGAGGAAGAAATGCAGTAAGATCCGAAGGGGGCTAGAGGGGCGAGACCGTAGCCCAGGCAGGAAGTGTAGCTCACCAGCCCAAGTCGTTGCCGGAGGGGAAGATACTGCCGCCCTGGGAGAGGGAGAGGAGCTGGTACTTGCCGCCGACCCGCCGCTTCTGCCGCTGGAGGTCGCTCCGCACCAGCGCGCGGAAGTAATCCCCGCTCCCGCGACGGGGCCAGCGCCGCCCCCCACGCGCGCCCGCCGCGAGCCGAGCCTCGTCGGACAGCCGGTGCACCATCCTCGCCGAAAGCGTCGCCGCTTCCGCCGCCGCCACCGCCGCTGCCGCGGCGAGCAGCAGCAGCAGCAGCGGGAGTAGCACCGGGAGGCGCATGGGTGGATCTGGGCCGGAGGCGGTGGATCTGGGGGTAATGCGGCAAGGCGGAGGGGAGGAGAGGACCTGGGGCTAGGTTTTGCGGGGTGCGAGGTGAGGAGGAGGAGGCGGTGGTGGTGGTCGAGCGGGTGGGAGTGAGAGCGTCAGGGGGAAGAAGAAGAAGAAGAAGAAGAAAAGAAGAGCGAGGGGGCAAGGGCGGTGTGGAGGTGGTGATGGCGTGGTGGTGTGGAAGTTTGCGCAAAAAAGACGACGGCGGACAAGGTTTTTGGCGGTTTTGCCACCTAGCCCTTGTAGAACTTCCATATGTGATATGTCTACTTTTACTACCCAAACATTTTCCTTAATTTCAACATTTTCGTTTAGAATTTCATATATTCCAGATCTCCAATGTAGTGACAAAAGGTTGATATTTGGGAATGCAAGTTGTGAGTGTACACCGGAACAAACCTACATTTTTTTTAAAAAAAATGAAGAGCAAACCTACTCTAGCTTTGGAAAACGCTAAAACCAGTTTCTTTATTGAATATACAAAATGCACCTAAAGTTTGAACAATAGTTTTCATATGTATCCTATACTTTTTTTTTCTAGAATTGTGTAACATCCCAGCCTATGGCTTAATAGAATTAATAGAATACTCATATCAACAAGTTGCAACTTCTTTTCCGGAAGCCGATCTCCAAAGAACTCCAGGATTAAGCGTGCTTGGCCTGGAGCAATTTGGGATAGGTGACTGACGGAGCGTGGGGCTCCTCACCGGGAGACCGCGTAGGCCCCCCTTTGCCGGTTCGGCCGGGGACTCAGGGTGAGATTCTAAGCTCTCTGTATGTGGAAGGTTCGCGAGACAGGAAACACACAAGACACGGGCGATGTATACAGGTTCGGGCCGCTGAGAAGCGTAATACCCTACTCCTGTGTTTTGGGAGATCTGTGTATGAAGGAGCTACAAAGTATGAGCCAGCCGCTCCCTTGTTCTGGGTTCCCTATCTGGAAAAATCAGTCCCCTCTCTCAGTGGGCTAGGTCCTCCTTTTATATCTTAAGGGGATACCACATGCACCATTTCTCTCTTTTTTGTGGGGACTTACCCCACCTTTTCATAAATGGACGGAGATTTGTATAGTTGCCGTCCGAGTCACCTTCTGATGAGACGGCCCACAACTACCTCCACTTTCGCCGGGAGCAGGTGCGACGTGGAATCGTGGCTGTCTGCTGACGACATGACCGGTGTCAGACCAGTCACGTCGGTCATTCTTGTCCACCACGTGTCAGCTTAGCAATCTACATGTTCGCCCTTCTTCACACAACATCTTGCCTGTAATGGTTAGGATGAAGCCTGGCATATATCTGACCAGGACTAACGTGCCATCTCTGGGAGGTAACACGCTAGCTCCAGCTGGGGACGAGCGCCTAGAAGCCCTTGTCCTGACGGGATGGGGCGAGGCGTGCGTCAGATCGCCTGTCGCCACCTAACCCGCGATTTGACCGGTCTGTGACTGGTCACAGACCGGATAAACGAGTGCACTGCACTGCGTTACATGCGGCGTGACACGCTCAGCCAAACCGCAATAAATGTGGTTAGGTGAGCCCCACTGTGCTCACCTAACCCATACACGCGGATCAAAAACCCACGAGGGGTCGGGGTGCCTCGGCCCTCGGGGCCGAGGCGGGTGCGGCCCGACCCCCTCGGGGGGACTAAGAGGAGGGCGAACACATCACCCTCGGGCCCGACGTCCCTCGGGGGTGCCAGGCCACGTGTGCGATTGTGTCTGCCTCAAACCTCTAGTCATGATACTCCTGATCCCATGTCACCGACAGTAGCCCCCGGCGTTAAGCCAGGGCGATCGCCCTCTTTAAGGGAAACGGTCGGGCGTGACGCCACTCCTAAGGCCTGGTGACAGGTGGGACCGGTCTCCACAATTGGGCAGAAACCCAACGGTCACAAACCACGCACATCGGCAATGGTAACTCGGCTGTCAACAATGAGCAGTCTCTTCAAGACTGCCACATTACTTGAGTAGCACACGAATCTTGACATGGCGATTCGTTTCGTCTGGAGATATGGTAACGTCGCTTCGGTCGGCGAGCGTAATTAACGCGCGCACGATATGATCTATCTCGACTGCCACAACCGCATATCCACCTCATGCGCCGCAAGCGGGCGAATGGGATTAGTGGAAGCGTGGGCGCGAAAAACAAGGGGGCGAAATAGTGGGCGCGAGAAGCGAGGAGCCGGGCACAGCGTTGGCAAGAGTATAAAGGCACTGAGGAAGGGATCTGTTTCCTTCCTTTCGCCATTATTCCCCTTGTCTTCGCCGCTTGCGCCCTAACTCCTTCTTTCCTGTGCCCTACCTTCGCCACACGCGCTCGCTCTTAATCTTCTCTTCCTCCGGCGCCATGGCACGGGGCTCTGCTCTGCTCGATGGTAGCGTGCTGCCGCCTTCCCGCATCGTGAGCGAGAGGCAGGCTGGGCTGTCACGCCGCTTCATGCCGGAATCTGCCACCGGCCGGGAGATAGTCACGCTGGGCGAGGGACGCCCGGCGCCAGACTACCCGGGGCGGTCCGTCTTCTTTCTCCCCTTTGCAATGGCAGGGCTGGTTCCGCCATTTTCTTCTTTCTTCATGGATGTTCTGGAGTTCTACGATCTCCAGATGGCGCACCTCACCCCCAACGCGGTGATGACATTGGCCATCTTCGCGCATCTGTGCGAGATGTTCATTGGGGTGCGCCCATCTCTTCGGCTGTTCCGGTGGTTCTTCACCGTGCAGTCGGTGTCGCCGCCATCGGTAGTCGGTGGCTGCTACTTCCAGCCACGGGGGCCGGTGCTGAACCGCTACATCCCCTGCGCCCTCCGCAAGAAGTGGGACGACTGGAAGAGCGACTGGTTCTACACTCCCCTCGCCGACGAAGCGCGCCTCCGACTTCCGAGCCAGCCCCCGGCGCAGGCCTCCAGCTGGCGGGCGCCGGTAGATCTGGGGGATGGCTATGACGCCGTCCTCGACCGCCTGGCGGGCCTGCGATCCCAGGGGCTCACAGGGGCCATGGTGTACGGCGACTACTTCCGTCGTCGGATTGCGCCGCTCCAGCGACGCGCTCGGGGCGCCTGGGAGTACACCGGGTCCGAAGACTTCACGAGGACCCACCAGGGAGTGAGATGGGACTGGGCTCATGAGGACTTCAAGATATTGGTCCAACGGGTGCTGAATCTCAACTCCGTAGAGGCGGCCCTCATTCCCCAAGGAATCCTTCCCCTCTGCAGCGATCCAGACCGCGCCTCCATCCTGACCATTATGATGGCGGTTGGGGCCTCAGAGGAGCGAGCTCCAAAGGGCCACGACGGCGCGGGCGGGAGCCGCAGGGGGGAACAATCTACCCCGAGAGGGGGTCGTGCTTCTGGGTCCCGCGACAGGGGCCCGGGGAGCAGCCGCCCTGCCGACGCGCGGGGGAAGAGGAAGCAGGGAGGAACACCTCCCCCATCTCCTCCCCGAGGGGGCGGGGCGGCGCGTGCCAGCAGCAGGCGCCCGGAGGGGGCCGCGCCAACATCGCAGCCCGAGGGGGAGCGCAAGAAGAAGCGGCCCCGTAAGATGGGGGAGACAGAACCATCTCGGGGAAAACCTCATTTCCCCTCCAAAGTGGTCGTTTAACCGACCTCCTCGCAGGTTCGTCTCTCACCCATCGTGGCTGTATTCATTCTCTCAACGCGAGTTTTCACTCACCCACCTTGTTCGTCTTCTGGTTTTTTCTTTTGTTTCAGCGAGATCCCGTCGCGTCCCTCCCGCCATTCCAAGTCCGGCCAGTCTGAGGCCGAGGATCCGGCGGCCGCAGAGGCCCTCAGGCGGGAATCTGACCGGCAAGAGGCCGCGGATCGCCTACGGGAAGCCGAGGAGGCCGCCCAGGAGGCCGCCCGGGCTCGCCAGGCCGAGGAAACCGCTCGGGAGGAGGCCGCCCGGGCCCGCCAGGCCGGGGAAGCCGCTCGGGAGGAGGCCGGATTTCGCCAGGACGAGGCGATGGCGACTTCCGAGGCAGCTCGTGACGAGGCCGCGGGCGCGTCGCTTGGGCCCACTCCCTCGGGCGACGCTCAGGCGACAACTTCCGGGGCAGCTGGCGACGAGGCTGCGGGCGCGTCGCTTGGGCCCACTCCCTCGGGCGACGCTCAGGACCAAACGGGTCCGGGGGACATCCCCGAGTCCGGCACTTCCATCGGCGGCCCGAGCCGCGTGGCATCCTCTCCAAGGCGGCTCTTCCCTACGCCTTCTATCGCCCCACTGAACGCAGAGCCCCTTCTGCAGGCCTTGGCCGCCGCAAACACCACGGTGTTGGATGGGTTAAGTGCCCAGGTGGAGGTCCTGCAGGCAGAGCGGGCGGAGCTCGACGCCGCGTGGGCGCGTGTCGAAGAGGGGCGACGCTCGGTGGAGGCCATGGTGGAGGTGGGCCGTAAGGCTCACCGCCGACACGTCTCGGAGCTTGAAACTCGTAAGAAGGTGCTGGCGGAGATCGCCAAGGAAGTGGAGGAGGAGCGGGGGGCTGCCCTCATTGCCACCACCGTGATGAACGAGGCGCAGGACACCCTCCGCCTTCAATACGGGAGCTGGGAGGCGGAGCTAGGGAAGAAGCTCGACGCCGCCCAGGGGGTGCTTGACGCTGTCGCTGCCCGAGAACAGCGGGCGGCGGAGACCGAAGCGGCGTCCCGGCGGTGTGAAGAGGCCCTTGAGGCGCGCGCCATGGCGCTGGAAGAGCGCGCCTGCGTCGTGGAGAGGGATCTGGCGGACCGCAAGGCCGCCGTCACCATCCGGGAAGCAACGCTGGCGGCGCACGAGGCTGCCTGCGCCGAAGAAGAGTTCACGCTCCGCCTCCGCGAGGACGCGCTCACCGAGCGGGAGCGAGCTCTCGAGGGGGCCGAGGCCGCGGCGCAACAGCTGGCGGTCAGCCTGTCCCTCCGCGAGGCAGCGCAGGAGGAGCAGGCGCGCCGCAATCTGGAAGGTGCCCGCGCCGAGAGGGCCGTACTGAACCAACGGGCCGCTGAGCTCGAGGCGCGGGCGAAGGAGCTGGACGTGAGGGCGCGCAGCGGCGGGGCGGCCACGGGCGAAAGCGACTTAGCCGCCCGCCTCGCAGCTGCCGAACGCACCATCGCCGATCTGCAGGGCGCGCTGGACTCGTCCGCCGGGGAGGTCGAAGCCCTCCGCTTGGCAGGCGAGGTAGGGCCCGGCATGCTTTG